ATCGTGTCCTCAGGTGACCGGTCGCGCCCTCGGTGACGCAAGCACGTGCATGTGTCTTTTCGTGGCCCTTGTCATGCGTGACCTCAGAACCTGGTCAGCGGCGGTGTCGCGTGTTCCGTCTTTGTTATCCTGCCTCGGGGACGGCGCGAGTGTTGGACCCTCCTAACATGTCGTTTTGATAAATATACAGCATATAGATAAGCTAAGAAAAACAAAATTCTGACATCATGGAGGGTTAACAGTTATTATTATTATTATTATTATTATTATTATTATCTCCTTGTTCTGTGCTTTAGTCTTTTCTGAAAGGCTCTGCCTAAGTTGATCCGTAGCAGCCCGTCACCTTTCGTTTTCCCTCAATCCCTCCTTGGTTATTTTTACATATTGTGGACTGGTGTTGATTTGTCCGGTAACGGTCCAGTAACTACTTAGACTCTCCACCATCGGCGCTGTCAGCGGAGGACGTGCCTCAGTACGTTAATCAGGGCATGCCTTCTGAACCCCCGTTACTTGAACTGCATTTGAAGACTCCCGTATTGCCTACTTGGTATTTATGTCCCTTTCTTCCACGTAGCACGACCAACAAGTCAGCCTAAAGCCCCAGAAATGTCAAAATGTATGACGCCTCAGGCGAAAAAGCGTCGTGTACTGGGAAGGACGTCTGGCGTTCCAGACAACGGACTCGACAATCTGTCCCCCGAGTCCAGTGTACCCTCTGCACTGTTCACCCTATAGGGTTCGCGTGGCGTGAGACAAGTCCGGCATGTTGCTTAGTTCACCTAAGCTAATTACGTATTTCATGCAGTTCGGTTTAAAAGTAAATGCGTGCGCCCCTTTTCCGATGCGACATGGGCAACGTCACCTCCCCAGTGTCATGCCTGTCCGTTGGGGGCTTGAATGAAGTCCTATCTGGTAGCTCCCCCCTCTTGGACCTTAAATATAGTCTGCTGTTTGGAGACCAAACGCCCACCACTATCAGTGAGACCAACTGTCGGCACAATACAGTCAACAATCAGCCAAGCGAACTGACAG